GAAGATGATCAGGTGGCCGGAGCACCTCCCCTACAAAGACAGGCTGAGAGAGCTGGGCTTGTTCAGCCTGGAGAAGAGAAGGCTGCGGGGTGACCTCATTGCAGCCTTTCAGTACCTAAAGGGAGCCTACAAACAGGAGGGGAATCAACTCTTTGAAAGGGTGAGTAACAGCAGGACAGGAGGAAAATGGTTTTAAGTTGAGGGAAGGGAGATTTAGGTTGGATATCGGGGGAAATTCTTTACAGAGAGAGTGGTGAGGTACTGGAACAGGCTGCCCAGAGAGGCCATGGATGCCCTGTCCCTGGAGGTGTTCAAGGCCAGACTGGAGGGGGCCCTGGGCAGCCTGGTCTAGTATTAAATGTGGAGGTTGGTGGCCCTGTGTGTGACAGGGGGGTTGGAGCTTCATGATCCTTGAGGTCCCTTCCATCTCTGGCCATTCTGTGATGATCTTGAATGCCTTTTCCAACCTCAGTGATTCTATGATTTGCATCCTTCTGTGTCATCATCTCGCACAATTTCAGCAAATGCATCAACCATCAGGACTACCATTCACACTAACTAAACACCCTGGTCAACTCTTACAGGAAAAGCACAGACATAACCAGACTCCCATTGTCCAACACAGACCTATCACAGCATGACAACACATACTACGGAGCTGGCACATTTGGGTACAGCATAAGAAGCTGGGGAAAACCTGGGTAAAGCCAAGGAGCAGACATCAGATACACCAAAGCCTGCCCAGAGCAGAGTTCTGGAGTAGGCAGGACTTATCTGGAGGTACCAAATGCCACACTTGCATCACCTCAGCTTTACTTAGATTCTATGCAGAAATTACTATGCAAACAAGTATTTCAGTGAACAAAGCCAGGCAGTGAAACACAAATAGCTTTTAACTGAAATGCAGTTAAAACAAAGATCTCAGATATGATAGCAACCACTGAAGATGCCTCACCGCAGTAAATCCCACGCTGAACACATCGCTACTCAGGGTAAAGAGTAGCAGAGTGGTGGTATCCTGTAGAGCAACTAGAAGACCTAGGAAACCCTGCCTAATTATTTCTATGGAAATCACAACAGCATTAGATTTCAGACAGCTCCCTTACTTCTGTAACCCACACTGTTGCTAGAAAAAGGACATAGCAAGAGAAAATTTCAGAACTCTATTTGTCAGCACCTTTGTTCAAGGTTTGGAGCAGTGATAGCAGGAAGGACCATCAGTAGGCTTACTCAGTGTAGCACTCAGGCAGGGCATCAGACCCACCATCTCCCTTTCTTCTCCTGCCACATGGTGAAAAATATATTCCATCACATATCCCCTAACTGCTGCAACCACAAAATTGGAAGCACTCAAGCCATTATATTTCATGATTACAGTTGAAGACTCCTCAGCGTAAGCAAGTATCTTCAAATTCACAAAAATGTAAGAGCAGACTGAATAATGAACAAGTAATATAACCTAAGGATATCATTACCCATTAAGCAAACTCCGTACTATTCTAGTTGTTTAAAATTCTAATCAGGCTAATTATGCTCAGAGGAAATTGGGATTAACAGACAAAGAAATACTTTTGGAGCCAGTATTTGCTGAATAAAGATATTGGTTTGATCAGATCTTATGAGTACCAACGTGGGTGGTCGTTTTCTTTTTTTTTTTTAAGCCTTTAGTGTCTGTTCTTAAGCTAATAACATAGCTTGTTTCCCTTTTGACCTCAGCAACATCTTTTACTGTAGCTTGACATCTAACACCAGCAAATGCTATAGTTATCCACAATATTTTATGTAAGTCCTGAGGTGATTATTTTTCAAAACTTTAGAATCATTTATTGCTAAAAAAAAAAGCCAGTCTACAACTTCTTCAGATAAAGAATAATGCTATCAGTAAGCATAGATTGCATTTTTAAAAAGGAAGCATTTATTAACTGAAGTTATGCAAGATAAAAGCATCTGCGGGCACAGCAAGTTCGACAGTCCCCCACCCTCAACAGTACACAGTGAAAACAAATACAAGTGAACTTCACAGACCATATCCACAGTGAGGTAGAACATTCATTACAGATGGTAATGTTAGCTTATACTCCTTGGCAGTAATTTATGTTGTTAAAACTCCTACAGAAAGAAACCACTAACTTCTTTTGCCTACTGTCTCCATGGCTATGACTTCCCTGGGAACACACATGGCCACCTTGCCAGGCGAGTGACATCTTCCCTGGGATATCCACAACGTGCAGCGGTGATGATAGTCCCCAGCCAGAAGGAGTGCACACCGTACTGCTCCAGGGGCAGCCCCAGCAACCTAAGGGCCAATCTGAGAACAGTCAGAAATCCCCTCTTCGTTACAGGTACGTTGTCCCTGTGCACAAAGAGCGGCCCTTCCAGCCTTGAACGCACAGCCACAAAGCTCCGGAAGGCCAGGACAGGGCACACCCATGGCTCTCCTGACAGAGCAAGGCTGATGACGGGTCTCTCCTGGTCGACAGGAGAGCTACGCAGGCGAAACGCCACCCTGCTTTCTGTCACCTGCATGTCCCTCAGGTAGAGCAGTTCAGGCTGCAGTACATTACGGTGCTTTGCCACCACCTCTCCTATCCGAAGTGCACCAAAAAAAGCCACAGTGAACAACGCACGGAACAGTAAGCATTCATAATGGGAAACACACACAGATTCCAGAGCTCCTAAGAGAGACCGTAGTATCTCAATTGTTATAGGAGCATATTTTTCCCTCAGGATGCCCACTTCACGTCTCAACCCCATTACCATCCAACGGGTTACAGCATCTTCCAGAGGGTCAGGGTTACCAGACAGTCTTGATAAGTAAGACAATGCTGCCACATACATCAATGTTTTTGAGGACGAGTAAAGAGACTCCACAGCTAAAAATCCCCTAACTTGATCCTCTGGAATGGGCCAGGTTGCAGGCATTCCCATGTCCTTCCTAAAGGCGAGAAATTTCTTCAGCCCCTCAAGGTAGGCTTGCCAAAGCCTAACATCCCCCGAGTGCTCCAGCAACAATAATGTCTTCAGAGGCTGAGGTCCCAGTGAGTGTTTCCAAGGAGCATCAGCCCCCGCTCCTACAAGACAGGACTCACATCAGCACAAGCACACCACCCAAACCGCAATATAGACAGCATCCCACAGTGCGAAGCACACCTGAGCGAGGCCCCAGCAGTTTATCTGACTACAGACACCGAGCTCACCGCACCCTGAGCTGTTAACGAGACATTTTTCAGGTGAGAAGGATCACAAGTAACGCCTGACACACCTCAGGCACAACATCTGGCAGTGCTACAGTAATTCAGAGCAGTACCAGAGAAAGTAAACAAAAACTCGGCTAAAGCCAAGCCTTGCTAGCATGGTCAGCAGACCTTCTAACCAAGAAGGGCACGCAGTACCTTCCTGCCACAAGTCAGAGCGCTTCCCAGCCTGGAAATAAGGCTCGAGACCTCCCAGAACCCCAGCCTCACACAAGCCTTCGAGCAAAACGAAGGCGAGAGCCGCAGCAGGCATAGCGCAGCGGGTCCTTCGCCGCTGACACATGCCTCACCTACCCGCTGCCGCGCCGAGCTCCCCGCGCCGCCTGGAGCCGCCGGGCCGCCCCACCGCCCGCGTCGTGCACGGCAATGCAACAGCCGCCTGCCCGGCGAGGCCCAGCTTCAGCCACTCCATGCCCGGCTCCTGTGCCAACAAGGCCAGCATCTCCCAGAAAGGTGAGGCAGCCGCAGTCCCGCTCGCAGCGCGACTACCGCACGACATGACCAGCGGTACACCTCGGCCACAGCAGCGCGAAGTCGGTGCTGCTGTTCAGCGCGGACTCTTTTATAGTCACGCAGCAGCCCGCGGCGCCCGCCGATTGGGCGCTCGCAGCAGAGCGTGGAGCGCACAGTGCTGCCATTGGCTGTCCGTCCGGAGTGGGCGGGACAGAAGGTGCGAAGGGGCCGTGAGCCGACTCCTGTACTTCGAATGGCATTCTTCGTTAGCCCTTACTTGCGGTTTAACGAGGTAATAAATGGCAGATAACGCCTCCCGGGCGCTTCCTACGGGATGAGGCCCGCCCGGCGGGAGGAAGCGGCCCGAGGTGCGAACTGCCCTCCGCGCCGAGACCGCCCCCGCGTCCTCCCCCGGCACGGGCTCCGCGATTGGCTGAGAGAAGAGCACGGCTGAGAGACGGTCCTTCTCATTGGCCGGGAGTTTGAGGCAGGGTACAAAATGGTGCAGCGGGGACGTCGTTGAGCTGTTTCGTGCTCGTGGTGTTCAGGGCGTCGCTTCGTTGGTGATGTGGCGCTCTGAGAGCAGAGTCGAGCCGGCTGCCACCAGCCCTTCGGCGTTCTGGGAGCTCCTCGCCTTGCTGGGGAGAGAACCCGGTATGGAGTGGCTGCTGCGTAGTCCAAATGGCTGCACTGGATCGCTGGGTTCAAGCGGACAGGAGTCTGGTGGCGGGGACAGAGTGGGTATGTGTAGCTCTGAGGGATTTGGGCATGGGGGGCTGCATGGGGTGGCCAAGTTAAGTGGGAGGTTGGCATGCTCTTTCCTTGGGCTCTGACCCTTGTGTAGGAAGCCTGCTGGGAGCTGCATGCACTAAGAATTTATTTGTATTATGTGTTCTTGTTGCTTCCAGACCCTTGTGTATGTTCATCTTGACCTGGGGTTGCAGAACGTTGGGGTGCTGTTCTGGGTCCCTAACTAGGCTTGGGGCATTGCTCTAAGGAGAATAGTCATGGGATGTTCTTACACTTGTCCCTTCATCCTTATGACTCTACACATGAGAGTCATAAAAATGCAAGGGACATTCTTGTAGAGTTTTTGTATTGTTGTTGTATTGTTGTTGTTGTTTTGTTTTCTCCAGAGAAACTCAAGCAATAGCTGCAGGGTGTTGTAAGGAAAGAAGCTTTTTTCTGCTTGTCAGTGAGACTGCCTTGCTTACCATTGCTAATGTTGGTTTCTTTCTGCAGATGAACTCAGCCATGTTTCTAAGAAGCATCCCTTGGGTCCTTGGCCCCTGAAGACTCTTATGTTACTGGAGGGCTCAGGAAGTAACCACCAATGGCAGCTGTACTGCGAGGGCCTGAAGAATTTCCTTGCCTTTAGAGAATGCATGGCACTACCTGCAGCTTGGCCAGTTCCAGTGGGCCAAGTGAAAGGGTTCTTGGTTATCATGGAGTGCCAGGATCTGCCTCCCACAAAAATAATAATGTACGTGGAAGGACTATCCTTCATCTCCAAACTGGTAGATCATCCTGATCCTCTTCAAGACCCTGCTGTCTGTCATATGATATCAAGATTGAAACGTAGGACTGCTCTTTCAAAAGAGAAATACTCTCCTGTAACAATTGAAGTGTTAAGATCTCTCCTGGGAACTCTGGAGTCTGTGTGTAGCTCTCCTTATGAGTGTATATTGTTCCGTGCCTTATTTACTGTGGCTTTCTGGGGGGCACTACACACAGAAGAAATAGTGGCAAATCACAAAAATGTAGTGCAGCCAAAGCTCTTGTACTTGAGTGATCTCCAGCTGACTGGCTGGAGTGCAAACCTTTGCTTGCGTGCATCTCAAATAGGTCAAGAAAGGGCTTTGGTCCAACTGGCACTTTCTAGAGAGATGTGGGTATGTCCTATTGAAGCTCTCCGTGTCTATGTGGCAGCACGGCCACAAGGAGAGGGTCCTCTCTTTGTGCATTTGGATAGTAGACCTGTCACAAAGAGGGAGTTCCTAACAGTCTTCCAACGTGCTCTTGGACTTGCTGGACGTCCTCCGAATCAGTATGGTGTGCATTCCTTCTGGCTGGGGGCTCTTGTAACAGCATGGTCTTCATGGGTATTCTGATGAAGCCATTGACAGAATAGCAACTACTACTTTTCTCATCCAAGATGGCTTTGAGACTGTCTTGATTTTAAAACTATTGTGACTTGTGGGTCTGTTGGAATGGATGCATACAGCATATTTGTGCTGGCTCTATTTTGACCTTATGTAATTTCTCATTAAACTGCATTTTCTTTTCATAAACTCTTCTGGTCTTTTTGTTGTGTGCTGGTCAAAGGCTGTGATTCTGCACAACAGTGACATGTTAACTTGGTACAGGCATGCATCCCATTTACAGTCTGGTGGAATGAGAAATAAACCTAGCTGATGACTGACAGTTTGAAGCTAAGCTGTGGATATGAAGAGAGTTCAGCTGCTAACTGAATATGACAGTAACAGAGAAGTTACCGATGTTGTCCAGGCTGCAGTTGCATAGCAGCTGTGTCCAACCTCAGTAGCTGCTGCTATTGTCTCAGTCTCTATGTATGTGGGCCTGCCCCTTGACAATTAGATCCTTCACTGTGCCCTTTTCAAAAACTGTATCAGACTGAGATACTAAGTAAAAGAAGCCTTTAATTGAAAAGGAGCTAAGCTATCAAAGGTGACCTTGCTGAATTCAAAAGATCCCTTGTAGTAGAGAACATTTGATAAGAGATGGCTAACGTAAATAACCCACATCTGCTAATTGGGGTACTTCTTAGATTTGTCAGTGATTAAATCACATATCTGAGTAGCACCTTCATGGTGTTGAGTGTCACCTTCTATTATACCAAGGGCATTTGAAGTAATGACATCCCCTGCAGTATTTAACATCAGTGTGTTCAGGACCTACCCAGGTTGGCTTCTCTGTGTACCTACTTACTATTGCATTTTTCAGTATTCCAAGAGGAATTTTAGCCACAGCAAACTGTTGCTCTGCTCTATGTGCAGAGCACATCACAAAGATGTGTACAATAGAAAACAATAATTTAATAATTCCCTGTTGTGCATCTGGTAGATCCCCTGCTACAGCTTTACTACCACCTGTTGCAGAATGAGCATGGTGTGGTGCTGACCCCATATTCCAGTCATCTTGCCTGCGTTTATGAATACTAAGTGGTGTGTCAGACTTCTGCAGATCTCCCTGTTGGACTGTAAGGTAATGAGTTAAAATACCCAGTGCTCCCAAAATACACATCTTTCATGTTGTTCCCATATTTGTATTATCCCTGGGAACCACCTACTTAGGAAATTTGCTGCCTTCCCAGCCGACATCTGACAAGGCATGTGCAGTTACAGCTCCCACGGCCCATTGGGAGGTGCTCCCGTGGCCAGAGGAGTGGGTAGGAGGTGATGTGTGGAGGGTTAGGAGCTGCCAGACCTAGCTGGGCTTGAAAGACTCGAGAGAAGGCTTTCATGGTCTAGCATTAAATGAGGAGGTTGGTGGCCCTGCATGTGGCAGGGGGTTGGAGATTCATGATCCTTGAGGTCTCTTCCAACCCTGGCCATTCTGTGATACAGGGATTGTCACCACCAGAGTCTCCAGCACTAAGATTTGCCTAATGGGCAAAGCAGTACACACAGAAAATGTACCAGATTCAAGCCGTTTGCTGAGAGGCCAAGTATCATCTCACAGCCTACTATTAAATGGATGGAGTTTGATTTGGGGCTTTTCTTCATACAACCCTGTTGAAGCCTTTTGGCAGGTGTTTCCTGTGCAGAAAGAAAACAGGTCCCTGTGGTTAAGCTGGTTGGTTTATCTCGGCTCGCTCACCAACCACCACTGTACATGAGTGGCTCTGCCACATTATCTTAACCCTCGTGGAAAACTCCAGAGTCAGGAGAGTATTTTAACACCCAGACCTAACTTCACAACTTAATGTTACCCAGAAAAAGTGACTTTAAAATAATAATAACAGTAATAGTAATAGTAATAATAACAATAACAATAACAATAACAATAACAATAATAATAATAATAATAATAATGCTTTTTTGTTTGTTTAGCTGCAAGAACTGGGCTGAGGCAATGCTGCTGGGGTTGCTTCCAGCAGCTCCTTGGCTGGCCCTTTCTGTGCACTGTAATTGCTGTATTTATTCATCCTCACCAGGCTGGAGGGGATGCTGCCCTTGTCCTTCCAGCAAAGGAATCTGATGAGCACTGCAAACATGGGAAGTTTCTGGAAAAACAGCACACAGGAGGTCCAGGTCACTCTGGGTCTCATCTAAGCCTTGAGAAGTTAGGGCTGTGAAAGAGCACCCACGGGCACCATAGAAAGGGCCTGTGCAGTCCTCAGAGACTTTTAAAGGAAAACTAAACAGCAAAATTAAGCTGAAAAATCCAGAGATGAATTGCATGGTAATACTCCCACAGAAAGGACACATCCAAGCTCGTGGTAGGTGTGGGACACAAGACTACCTGGGGGCATGTCTATTCCTCCAGCACCTCCAACAACACAATAAATATTTTAAGTAAGCTCAGAATTTATTTATTTATTGATGGTCTCCACAAAATCTTCCCACCTTATCCTGCAGAATCAAGCAAAACTATTTTATTTTGTCCCTTTTGTGGGTACATGAACACTCAGGAGAGGGTTTGGGTGTCTACCGATTTCAATGGGAGAGTTGGTACCTATGTTGAAGATGCTACCTTGCCCACTTTGGCTCCTGCTTTTGTAGGTGATCCCAAACCATGCTGTTCTCCAGGGCAGAGCTGGCATGATGTTGTGATGCCCTGAGTCAGCCTGAGACAGCCAGGACGGCAGGGAAGTCTACACACACAAAGTCTGTGGCCATAACGCTTCTCAGCCACTTGCTTTTCATACGACATATGTGCAGAAGCAGCTTTGTTTTGACAAAATATCCTCCTCACAGCTCTCCTCACCCACCCACCATCCCCAAACAGGGTGTTCCTCTGTCTCAGAGCATGGACACATGAAGAAATTAATTGATGGTGTGAATTTACAGTGTGTCGTTTATTCTGTGGTAACTGCCCATGCCTACACACTCCTACTTAGCAAAATGAAAGGTAAAAAGGTGTAAATGACTTCACACTTCATTAACAAGCAAGAGCATTCATCCAGGCAGAGATATTTTAACCAAGCAGCTTACTCCAAAGGAATCTTTGCTTTCTTTGTGGTTTAATCCAGATGCTGTTAAAATCCATGGGAGTATCTCTCGATTTCAGCAAATCATCTCGCTGGCAAAGATAAAGCTGTAGTCAAATAATCCATTCTTATTTCAGGGTATCACAGATATCCTGTGATGTGGGATTTCAAGTGCTTTTAAATGGAAACTCGGTCAGGCTCCCACTCAGTGGGATCTGTTATCTCCCATTGACATAGTAGCCAAATCCTTGTTACTTCAGGACTCACACTTTCACAGAATTACATAGTGATTTTATTTATATGATGGTGTTTCTCTTCATCATAGGTGGGACTCAGCAGTTAAAATTCAGAAAAGTTAGAGAGTTAGGCCAAGAGCTCTCAGCATATCTTCAGATTTGGATTTCTACATTTGCAGTTGATCAGGCTCAATTGAGAACATTCCCATCAATTTAACTTATGGAAAACAGCCAATTCATGTCACTCTGAGCCCAGTGGCATCTCACGAGTTTTCCACTGCCATTTCTTTTTTTTTTTTTTTATTTTGTGGATGCTGAAGTGGATAACAATGTTGTGAATTTAGATGACCAACTTCCTTTCCTAAGGAATACTCAGGAGAAATTTTACCTAAAGACTAATGAAAGCCAAAGGAAGAAAACAGTGTTTTCTGTTACCAACACAAGGCTGTATGGCAACCTCACCTGGAGACAGGGCTGGAGACCACAAAATAGAGGAGATGTCCTGTAGGTAAAACCCAGTGATTCTTAATGCCATTTGCACCTTCATACTGGAAAGGCGTTGACACTCTTTGTGATTATAAGCATATCTAAATGACAACAGTAGCACAGTGCAGTGATTTCCAGTTGCACACCGTACGGGAGAGGGAGTGTTCTCCAATGCTGAATGAGGGATTGTGCATCTGAAAGCTTCTCCATCTCACTACGTCATGGCAATAAAGAATGGGAGCACTCCCTCATCTCACCACATATTTTATACAGCACTGTCTGATATGCAGACAATGCAGGCCTCTTTTACTTCACTGCAGTCTCCTTGACAAGTTTCTCACACGTGCAGACCTGAGAGGAGGAGACCCAGTCCTTCCTGCGTGCATCTGTGCATCTCCCTTTTCTCCTCCATGAAAGTGATAAAGAGGGTGGGTGGAAGGGCCCAGCTCCTCCCAGTAGGCACTAACGACAGAATTATCACTTGGACGGTGAGTACAATGCCCACTGTAGCAGCTTCATCTCTCTTACCCCAGAACAAAGAAAATGACCAGGAGGAATGAATAGAATTTAATCGTGATAATTCAGCTGGCATATGCTTCTGTAAGGAGACCACATCAAAAAGTGAAACTGCAGTCTCATGCGGTTGTTTGCAGAGTCGATGAGTCAGAGCCCTCTCTCTTCCCATGCAGCAGCTCACTAAACCCGTGTCTGCTTTCATACTTTCCATTCCCTTCAGGAGAGAGGGCTGTGTTCATGCTGTATGGTCACGTGAATACTCTCCACCAGGTAATGAGAGATTTTGAGGTCTCAAGCTTACCATGGAATTGACAAGTGAGCATTTATTTAAATTGTTAGATTTAACCCAGGAAAATTCAAAAATTAATGAGTTTCACCATTATTTCTATGGCCATTTCCATTTCTGGGTTCCCTCTGGATTTAATTCCAGTTGGTGGGGACTGTTTTATGAGTGACAATGGTCGAAGAAGGAGGGTTCAGCCCCTCGCATGACATTCACACTGCATGGTTCTCACACCACATCTGTGTCCATCTCCATCTCAATGAATCCTATGTCTGTCTGACATCAACTAGTTACAGCTGATCTTGTACCCTATCCATTGGGCAGCCCCTGAAGTGGCCAGAGTTGGATTCAACGCTGCAAATCTGCAGGGTGAAACACATCCTTCTTGGTCTCAATGCAGAAGCTTAGCTTCAGACATTTCAGCTGTAAGCTTATTCTTGTCTCTGTTTCCTCTGAGCTTAATTTGATCTTGATATCAATGACTGTACATTTGTGTCACTTTGTTGCAAAGTTGATTATTTCTAGTTCTGTTTCTAGGGTGATAGGTGGAGGGAAAACACCTTTAACGGGCAATTAAATTCAGAAAAAGAAACAACAGCTGTGACAAATGCATCCATCCCTCTCCAAGGAGTAGTAACATAAAAAGCTGAAATGCGAGAAATCTGTTTTGTTGCATCTGCACCCACCATTTCAACAGCAGCACCTAAACCATGTGCATGATGTAGCTGGATACGCTGTTTGAAAAATATGTTTTCCCTAGGGATTAAACTATCCAGAGACATAAAGTGATCACTTTAGTAACCTGAATTCCTAAGAAAACAAGGATTGCTAGTTTCTCTTGAACAACTATGTCAGATGTAGCTATTTATCTGTGCTATGATCCTGCCCGCTTGCAGTTCAGAGGTGGAGAAACTGGTTCCTGCCC